CATTATCCCTGTGGTGCAGTGTTTCATAAGAGTCTGTGTGTGTGTGTGTGTGTGTGTGTGTGTGTGTGTGTGTGTGTGTGTGTTTGCTGAGATTCCAACCCATAGCCTTGTGCAGGACAGGCAAGTACTCTACCACTGAGCTACACCCTGAGCCCTTTGGTTTGGATCCTGAACATCCCTCAAAGTCTCATGCACTAACAGTGTGGTTCTAAAGGTGATGCTATTTGGAGATGGTAGAACTTTTGAGAAGTGGGGCCTTAAGAGAGATCGTTTTGTGCTTGGAGGTATGCTCTTGAAATGGATTATGAGACCTCTGCCTGCTCCTGCTGTCTCTTTTTTTCTGGTTATGGTGTGCCTCTTCATCACAGGCCCCAAAGCAATGACACCGGTTGTTCATGGACTAAAAGTCTCCAAAAGTGTGAGCCAAAGTAAACCAAAAAATCTTGTGTGTGTGTGTGTGTGTGTGTGTGCATGTAGGTACATGTGAACATACATGTAATTGCCAGAGGTCAACCTTGTATTGTTTCTCAGGAGCCATTTACATTTTTTTGAGGTCTCTTATTAACTTGGAGCTCACTTAAGGTTAGGCTGACTGGCCTCTTTCCACCTCCCTAGTGCTAGGCCACCACACTTGGCTTTTTTTTTTTTTTTTTTTTTTTATAAAACAACAACAGGATTCTGGAGATTGAACTTGGGTTTTCATGACTGAATGGCCAAGGTATCTCCTCAGTCTCTTTTTTTCTTTGTAAGTGTGTTATCTCAGGTTACAGTGACAGGAAGCTAACATTTCCTACAGCGACATTGTAGAGTGGTGTGTCCTGAGTCTCATCAGGGTGTATCTGTCATCAAGTTGATTTCATGTTAGTAAATGGAGCTAACACAAATATAATTAGAGATGCAAATACCCAGGGTACCACAAAGTGATCAAAGAGCTCCATCTGCCCCTTGCCTATCTTTCAGCCTGTTTGGTCCCTTTTACCTTCAGACATCAGGCTCCTGCCACCTTGGCCTTTGTGACAGCCACCAAAGGACCAAATTGGTTCCTGATTCTAGCCTTTGCCCTTGTTGCTCTAGGTGCTGGGAGTACTCCCTCCCTACCCTGTGCTGGGAGCACTCCCTTTCCACCCCGTGCTGGGAGCACTCCCTCCCCACCATGTGCTGGGAGCACTTCTTCCACCCCGTGCTGGGAGCACTCCCTCCTCACCTTGTGCTGGGAGCACTCCCTCCCCACCCCATCTGGGAGCACTCCCTCCAACCCCGTTCTAGGAGCACTCCTCCCCACCTTGTGCTGGGAGCACTCCCTCCCATCCCGTTCTAGGAGCACTCCTCCCCACCCTGTGCAGCTCCTTCTTGTCACTCAGATCTTTGCAGAAGGGCCTTTGCTGATCCATCAGTCTGCCAGGGCCCTTGGTCCTTCTCTGTCACAGGAACATGTTTCAATTTTATTGCAGTACTTAGTATTTGCTTTCTTGTTTGTTGGTTGAGTATTGCCTGTTTCCTCCTGCTGGATAACTTGTAACTGCATGCACCACAGACCCCTTATTTCTCTTGCTTCCCACTTCATAAATAGTGCCTAAAGTGGGCCCAGTGCATAGATGGGTGGTGGGTAAATACTTGTTGGAGGAATGAAGGGGTCAACTTGAACAGCACGGAGGCAGCTCATGATGGAAATGCACCTGCACCAGTGTTTTCTACTCTCCCTCTGGACCATGTGACCTTGGTGAGACCTTTACCTATTGGATCTTTATTGCTTTTCTGACAAAATAAGGTTAAACTAGATCTGTGAGATTTTTTGCAATTGTTCATTCTGAGACCCTCTGTCCATTTGCTTCCAAGTTGGGCAATCTAATAAGAATTTACCCTTATAAGTAAAAGCAATCTTGTAGATGGCTGGTATGTTTCAAAGCCCCAGCCACACCAGGCAGTGGCTGATGGATCTGGACAGTTGGATAATCAGTGAGAAAGAAACATTATTATTTCTCCAGAAAGCAAGGGTAACTTTATACAGGGTGAAAGACTCCACTGCTGGTGGAATATATGTCCATAAATGTTACAGAATCTTTCTGATCAGTAGGAAAAGAATAATGAAAGTGAAATGTAATTACTAAAATTATTCACATTATTCCTTCCAATGTAATTTTAGGAAGATTTGAATAAAATTAACTTTTAGACCTTCCCCACATTCTTTTTTTGTTTCATGGCTTAAAGACCTCCCTCCCTCCCTCCCTCCCTCATTTTTAAAAGTTTTAGAAAAACATGGAGCTGTTCATGGATTTGCACGTCATCTTTGCATGGGGGCCATGTCAATCTTCTCTTTATCAATCTGGTTTTAGTATATGTTGCAGCTGAAGGGAGCACAGGACCTTTCCTTTTGTGGTATACTTTATTAACAGACACAATTTGTGGAATTCTTTTCCTTTTTCATACTATCTAACTTTCAGTGTTTGGATGTTCTATATTAATTTGCCATTGTTGCTTCAACATATTACCTCAAACCGGAGAGCTGGAAACAGTCCACATTTATTCTACTGTTCTTAAGGCCAGAAGCTCAGCCTGGGTCTTGAACTGAGCTCAAGATGTCAGCAGGTCTACAACTTTCTCTAGGACCAAGGGCAGAATTCATTTCCCCACCTTCCTATTTTCTAGAGACTTCCTGCATCCCTAGGCTCTTGGCCTCTTCCTCTACCTTATGCCCGATCGAGTGGTTAGTCACCACATGACTGTAACATGGGCCCCACTGCTTTCCTCTCCCACACTGAAGGATATGTTTCAGTGAGAATATGGGTAATCTAGAATAATCTTCCTGTTTAACATCAGGGATTGACAGCTTCACTTCCATCTGGTTCTTTAATCCCCCTATACCGTGTCATGAAACATATTTGCAGATCCTGGAAGTAGGACATGACCATCTCAGAGGGCACTGTTTGGCTGCCTTACACTACTTAGAGCAGGCTCTAAGGCATAGGTGCTAAGGTGCATGTTCAAATGACAGTGTGCAGGTGGATGCCTGAGGATGGTTCCTTACTGTTTTGATGAGGAAAAAAGGTGATAGTGCAGAATCCTTTGGTTTGTCAAAAAGAGAAAAAAACAGTGCCGTGTAAGGCAACACAGCCCCATCATAGGCTAAAAGTGCCAACAGCTGGAAGCTTGCGTTTCAGATTGCTGAAGGCCATTTTGTCTTGGAATCCTTTATCTTTGAGTATTGTCTTCTTTGCACTGAGTTGGTGAAAAGTTGACATCCTATCACATAGATAAATTGTCCATTAGAAATGTTGATAATTGTGGCTTGTGTGAACTTCTTTGCCATGTAATTGGTGTTAAAGTTTTTTTCTCTCTCTCTGTGTGTGTGTGAGCCTGATGACCTGAATTTTATTCCCAGAACCCATGTAAAAGTGGAGGGAGAGAACCAAGTACACAAGGTTCTTTTCTGACCTGTACACGTGCACTAATTAAACAAAATTTTTCCTGTATCATTAAAAATGTTCTATAGATTTTAAATTGTGTGTGTGTGTGTGTGTGTGTGTGTGTGTGTATTTCTGTGTGTATGGGTATGTATGTGATGTGTGTTTATGTTTGTGTGTATGTGTGTGCACACATGTATATGGTGTGTGTATATGTGTACGAAGGTCATAGGTTCATGTCAGAGGCCTCCCTCTATTGCTTTCTACCTTATTTTTTTTTGAGGCAGGGTCTCTCACTGAACCTGAAGCTTACCAATTCAACTAGTCTGTCTGACCAATGAGGTGTAGGGATCCACTCATCTCTTTCTTCACAGCCCTGGGATTGCAGATGTAGCCTGCCATGCCCAGCTTTTACATGGGTTCTGGAATCAAATTCAGGTTCTCATGCCTGTGTGGCAAGCCATCTCCCCAGTCTCACTTCGAAGGTTTTCTACAAGAATCTACAGATAGGAGCTAGTGCACAGAGCAGGCCCACCTTATCCCCTGTGGGACATCAGAGGGAAATTTACGCTTTGCTCATCTGGTAACAGGATTTCCAGAGGAACTGACAAGTTAACTTCTTGCCCTGAATCATCACTTTTAGGGAAGTTAAAATTCTTTTGTCTCAAGGTACACTTGATTGAACAAGCGTTTATGGAGGCAGTAGTTAGGGTTAGTAGGAGAAAGAGACAGTTGAAGAAAGAACAAATGGATCTAATGTAAATCAAATGCTCAGCTCTTTTATAGAACTACAAAGCCTTAAATGTGTATTCTTCATGGTAATTCTTCCCGAACTCCAATACGAATCTTTGACAGTGATTGTTTCTGTGGGGAGATGGCTTTTCTCTTTCACATGCTAATCACTTGCTCCTGGTGATATTTCTCTCCTTGACTGTAGTCATGCAATTGAATAATTTATGGCATGAATTTTGTTGCGAATTTATTGTGTCACAAGCAGGTTGTAATTTCACTAACAGTTCACTTAAGTTATTAAGTTAAAAAAAATACAGTTGATAGGATGGTACATTTAGAGAGTCCCTCATTCCCCAGCAAGTTCACATCTTATATATTTTCAAAACAGAGCACTTGCCTTATTTTTATTCAGTGTCTGATATGAGAGAAAGAAGCGTACATTAACATAAGTGGAACTTACGAGCGCACTATTGTTGAATTTTGAGAGTTGTAAACAAATTACTGAAGATTTTATAGAGACAGAAATGGCATTAAGCTCACAGTGCTGTGGCTCTGATGCCATTGTTTTCTGAATAATTGCCCTCTCTGCTCCCACTGGTGATGAAGGAAGAATTAGACAAAGGAAGAGTTGGTAGTGCTGTGGGTGAAGATGCTGGGCCAGCGAGATGCCTCAGTAGGTAAGGGTACTGGCTGCCAAACCTAAAGACCTGTTTGCTGGTTTGATTCCTGGAATCCATATGGTAGAAGGGAGAACTGACTCTTGTGAGTTGTCGTCTAACCTCACACTAACCATGTGCTGTGGCTTTTTTTTTTTTTGGTCTTTTTTTGTTGTTGTTTTGAGACAGAGTCTCTCTGTAGCCCCAACTGGTCTGGAACTTGATATGTAGACCAGACTGACCTCCACCTCACAGAGATCTTCCTACCCCTGCCTCCTGAGTGCTGGGATTATAGGTGTGCGCTACCACACCCTGCTAAAATAACTATTTTTTTTAAAGGTATAGATGCTACATTTAGTGCTTTAAATGTTGCTGTAATTTTGATGCTAAGATGATGGCAAATAATTATGCCCCTAAATATTATTATTATTCTTTTTTTAAAGAATTTTAAGTATATGTGTGTGTCTGAGTGTATGTATGTGCACAACATGCATGTAGTGTTTGTGGAGGCCAGAAGAGGGCATCAGATCCCTTGGAACTGGAATTACAGGTGGCTGTGAGCTGCCTGATATTGGTGTGAGGAACCAAACCTGAGTCCTCTGCAAGAGTAGCAGGTGCTTTTAACCCCTGAGCCATCTCTCTAACCCCTCACACCTCTAAATCATAACCATTCCAAATGGAAAAAGAGAATAGGAAAAAAACTTAAAAATCTCTCTCTCTCTGGGGTTATTTGATTGGTATCATCTCTGTTTACTAATGCAGTGCTCCCTGCTAATGGCTGTTCTGCCTAGAGGCTACATTGTCCACTGTGGAAAGGTCTGCTAATCTTCTGCCTGCAGTTCCCCACTTTAGCAAACATGCATTTGAGGTTCCCTTTTATTTACACTGAAGTTTTTCTATTGACCCTTCCTGTAGAAATGAATTTCAAACAAGTCTTTTCTTCCTCTGGATTCTAGAGGGGTGGCTTAATTCCTCTAGGAGTTCTTTATGTTCTTGTTAGCACCTTGATGATTTTCTTTCTGTCTCTCATCCTATACTGTTTCAACTCCAGTCCAGGGAACACTGGAGAATAGTCCTTCCTCCTGGATGGGAATGCATTTCAGCCTTCTAAATAGACATCCTCAGGGGGCTGAAGCGATGACTCAGCAGTTAAGAGGCTGCTCTTGCAGATGACCCTAGTTTGGCTCACAGCACCCACATGATGACTAACAACCACCTGTAACTCCAGTTTCAGGGGATCTGACATCGTCTTCTGGCCTCAGATCCTGTGGAGCTGAAGTTAGAAGCAGCAGTGCTGGGAACCAAACTCCAATCTTCTGTAAGAGTAGCAAGCACTCTTAATAACTGAGTCATCTCTCTAGCCCTTTCCTTATAATCATCTTCCATTAGTACATGTGGAACATTTATTACAATGAATGAGGGGATGCTGATACACTAATAAGTAAAGTTTATAGTTTACATTAGAGATCGTGTTTGATTGTCTTAGTCAACTTATTACTATGATGAAATATCTGAGGCAGGCTACTTGATAAAGAAAAGATGTTTATTTGTCTCATAGTTTTGGAGGCTAGAAGTCCAAACAGCATAGCACAGGGTCTAGTGAGGAGTCCCCTACAGCTGTACCATATCATGATGCCAGCAGAGGCTCATCTCTGTTTTTGCGGCCTCTTTCCTTATAAAGTCACCTGCAATCACCTGTGGGGTCTCTACCTAATGACCTCATCACTGTCCAAAGTGCTTACCGCTACATACCGTGGCTGAATTACACTTGAATACCACTCAATACCACTATTGTAAGACTCTGGGGATTAAACTCCTGCATGAGTTAGGAGGAAGGAGGACCAATCTATTTAAGTCATACTAGTGGTTTTTGACAAAGAGACAATTGATGTGGGTTCTTTGTGTGTGACAGAACTTTCCTCAGCTCTTGGCAAACTACGCTTGAGAAACTAATGATAGGGGGAGACTCCGGGGTCCTTAGAGTGATGGAGGCTTTCTTGTCTCAGGTGTCTGGTCCTTGTATCTCAGGAAGTCAAAGAACAAATTTCATGGAGCATGAGTGAGTGTGTTTAGAAAAGAGTTTGTTATAGGGTTATACGTGAGAACCAAAGGGAAGTGACGCCAGCAGAGCTCCTGCACATAGCAAGAAAGGGTCTGAAGAAAAGGACTTCCCCAAGGGTCATCCTCCAGAGGTTAATAAGGCTCTTACGGGTGGAAGCATGGGGAGTGAGCTGGTCTGTCAAGTTGGCTTACCTGCAAGATGTCCATGTACTTCTCCATCCCAGGTGTCTGGACTGGAGTTGCAATCATATCCTCACGTAAAGGTCCCAGGCAGCTGTGCACAAGGAGAGGAAAGATAATAGGAAACCAGACTAGGAGCCAGAGCCCCCAATGCTTCTGATATTTCTGTCCCCCAGCCAGGACAAAACCAAGGACAAGAATTGAGGTCCCTGTCCTTAAGCTGCATGATGAGTTTCTATCTCATCTTCCCATCCCCGGGTGCTGGATGGTCACAGTCACCAAAGCCCAGTGACATGTATCCACCATGATGGGCTCATAGGGTTATA